AGTTGGTGCCCAAAACATACCCGGTATATCCTTCGTAATGTATATAGCCCATCTCCTTGGTTTGCCAGCATCCACACATCCTCAATGACCTTCCGGCCACTGCTTTCTTAAGACATTGACATTCTTGTTCAGATTATCTTTCACTCCCGGCGCCAACCTCTTTAGCACATTTTTCGGCTATTAGAGTCTTGTCTTTTATGATAGAATTTTTTTAGAGTTTTTCATTTCTGCACATTACTTTTAATCCCCTTCGCTGTTGTAATTGTCATTTCCAAGGCTGGCTTTGTCTGACTTCAGATTAGACTGTTTTTATCTTGGTTGTCCTAGCTGTCAGTCCCCTAGTAAACAGTGACAGCAATCTTCTGAACTAGCTGAGGCCCAGTCAAGTGTGGACAGACACATATATCTCTTATCTTGCTGCGGTGTCATTTTCCTGCTTGTCTGCCCTGGTCTCGGCTTGTTTTAAGAACTGTGGTGCCTCTCTCATCTCAGCCTAGGGAGGTATTGCATGGTTTCTCAGAGACAGCTGGGCGCTGCCTGGGGAGTGTTTCCCCCACCCAGACACCAGGGTAATTCTTGTTCACATCTCCCGTGCAGATGGAGAATGGAGACATGAATAATTCACGGTCTGTATATAAGTGATGATACTACCTGGACTGGGACATATTTGTCTTTTGTTCAAAAACCCTTGGTGAAGAGAGGCCCGATGGTGACCTGGGAGAGAGAATGGGGAAGGGGGAGAACTGGACTACAAAAATGATTAAGACAGACTGAAATGGGCCAACAGTCAGCAGCTTGCTCACTTTTGGTGCTCATTGTACTGATTGATGTTCGGATAGTGGACCTCCAGAAATATTATATACTTACCTTTATGTTCCTGTGATGCTTTGGGACTCAGAGGTCCTATTTGGGTTTGTAATGATAATTAAGTTTATTTTCAGGCCGTGGTTGGTGCTGGGGAGAAGAAATCAGGATGCATTGTGAACTACTCTTACTGTGCTCTCTGGAGAGAAGGGGAAATGAGTATTCTTTCCGTCTCTTGGCTATGGACGGATAAAGTTTGCCCACTCGCAATGGGATAGGAAATGATAACTAGAAACCTCCTGTCTAATCCGGTTTGTAGCAGATAATGGCATGTGGGGTGTAGTGTTCTCTGTAAGGACTGTAAGGCCTTCAGTTGCAGTGGTTCCAGCTGAAGAGCAATAGGGTTTCATCTGTTTTGAACCATCTAAGCATTATTATTCCTCAGGATTAACTGTTTGTCTGTTACAGTGTATAACTATGTTGCTATGTATACACTTGAAGAGCATTTAGAGTGTTTTGAAATATACTATTGAAATGACTTAAAAATATCACTTACGTCCTTAGTTTTAGTTTTAGGACACAGTTCTTGCAAATTCCCTGTCTTCCTCTCTGATCCTAGTTAACTGAAGTTAACTTTTCCTCGGGATAGTTGTTGGTTTCAGTATCTCACTATTTCACGTAACTGTTTTCATAGTGTAATTTTAACACGTAGTCTTTGAATGTCATAAATGCTAAAAGAGTAAAGAAGAATATTGAAAAAGGGGTTAAATGGGCTCATGAAACTCTACCATCATTGTAATCTGATAAAAGAACTCTACATATAGAGATCTTCAACTGTGAATTTTTTCCAGATTTCCTTTCTTTTTCCTAATACAGCTTATTAGCTTTTAGTCAAATGGGGTTTTAAATAAATAATTATCCTTTATCTTAGAAGTAAAATCATTTCATAGCTCCACAGAGCATACTTTTAATGTTAGTCAAGCCCTCTATTTCCTTTTTAATGGATGTAATAAAGATAAGTGCTTTATTCATAGATTTACGGGTGTAAATCTAAAGCTCTGTGAACTAAATTTCTTATCATGTAACACTTTGATTTTCCTTTTCCATTAACAAATCTCTTTAGAAAATACTAAATTGTTGGAAAACTACTGCTACTTCTTATTTTGCTAAAACCAGGAATGTGTCTTATCCGGGTTTTTCTTAAACTCATGATGAGTAAAAACAAAACAAAAAAACACCAAACCACCCCAAAAAACAAAACTCATGATGACTAAGAGGAGGCCACGCTTGGTTAGTATTCAGCTCCAAATGCCTGTCAGATAAAGGTCTGTGTGGAAATAGGATTGGTGTGTAGGAAGAAATGTAGCGATAAATTCAGTGAGTCTCTTGTGTAGTTAGTAATAAAATTTCACTGTTGAACCCTGACCTGAAAGACCTGTTTTCTTTAGTTTAATCAGGAAATGAAAGGAGTTGCTCTAAGTGAACAACCTATGTCAGATATTTTGTAGCATAGAGTAGTATATTTTTTTTCTACTGAGTTACAGTTACTTTTTCTGTTCTAACCTTTGAAATTAATGAGCTTGGAGAAAATAAAATCTGTTTCTCAAGGTCCTGTAGAATATATGTTTGTAAATATATTTTCATCCATGACTGGTAATGAAAAGATCGTTGTTTTGTAGCTTTCTTAGGGTTCCCATATAGGTAGCAAAGATGAGGAGCTTTTCTCCTGAGGACACAAGAAGAAATAGACCTAAGTTGTCAAAGAAGAGCAAGAAGAGCAAGAATGTCATTGGCCATCATTGTTTTGAATTGTTCTTCTTAGGGAAAGTACCATTTCCTCCCCTTGAAGATCTTAAGTATTGTTTCAGTGGAGTCCATTTTGAAATAGATAATAGGGCACCTGGGTGGCTCAGTCGCTTAGGTGTCTGCCTTCGGCTTAGGTAATGACCTCAGGTCCTGGGATCTAGCCCTGTGTCAGACTCCCTGGTCAGTGGGGAGTCTGCTTCTCCCTCTACCCCTGTCCCCCCCCTCCACTCATGCATGTGCGCATTCTCTCTCAAATATATAAATAAAATCTTTAAAAGGAAAAGAAATAGGGGCACCTGGGTGGCTCAGTTGGTTAAGCATCTGCCTTCAGCTCAGGTCATGATACCAGGGTCCTGGGATCTAGCCCTGCATGGGGCTCGCTGCCCAGCAGGGAGTCTGCTTCTCCCTCTGCCCCTCCCCCTGCTCAAGCACTCTGTCTCTCTCTCGCTGTCTCTCAAATAAATATATAAAATCTTTAAAAAAATAAGAAATTAAAAAAATTTAAAAAATAAATAGATAATAGATGTAGATGAATTTGCATGGGAATTCATCTTTTTCTAACATACATTTCCATCTTAGATATATGTAGGTGCTTGGTAAATTAATGAGTGAATTAAAAAATAACTTTCAAATACAGATGTCAAAATTTGAACAGCATGACTGAAATCTGGGTCCCCGCTCTAACGTGCAAGGAACAGTTTTTGTTATAGTTTATGTTTTCTAAATTGGAACCAGTGAATTTAATCCTAAGAGATTAGCAGAAACAACAAGTTTAAATGGAAAAAAATAAATGGACCTTGATTAATGAAATTACCGATTGATTGCCGGGCTCTCCGGTTGTTAGACATGTAAAAATATCCATAAAGTAGGATAGAATTCTCAGTAATGCCATCACCAGTGTCATTAGTATAGTTCTGTTTTTAATGTAAGACTTGGATCCTTTGCTGAAAACGTTTTTGGGTATTTCACTGGATAATTATTTCAGTTCTCTGTTGCTGCATAACAAACCACTGTAAAGCCTGGTGGCTGACAGCAACAGCTAAAGGCATTTGGGTTGACTGGACGCAGCAGGACAGTTCTTCCTGTCTCTTTCATGCCTTTGCAGTGAGATGGCCTCGGGCCATCTGGACGCTCCCCTGGGCTGTCAGCGGTGCTGGGCTTCTCTCCTTCCCCATGTGCTCTCAGGGCCTCTCCTCCCCACATGGCCCCGCCACAATCTCTCCAGCAGGGTAGGCAGGCTTCCTACTTAGTGGCTTAGGGATCATAAAAACAAGCATTCCAGGAGGGAGGAAGCAGAAGCTACCAGACATTTAAAATATGAAGCCTGGGGGCACCCGGGTGGCTCAGTCAGTTAAGCTCCCTACTCTTGGTTTCCTCAGGTCATGATCTCGGGGTCATGGAATTGAGCCCCGAGTGGGCTCCACACTCAGCGGGAAGTCTGCTTGTCTCTCTCCCTCCCCTGCTGCCCCTCCCCTTTCACGTGTGCACGGTGGGCATTTATGAGCACATGTGTCCTCGTGTGCATGCTTGCTCTCTCTCTCAAATAAATAAATAAATGTAAAGAAAAAAAAAATGAAACCTGGTCTGGCATGGTGTAACTTCTCCTGCATTCTCTTTGCAAGTTACCCAACTTAGTTTCAACTTGGGAGGGGACAAGGGTAGAGGCCGGGGGGGGTTGTGGGGGGCACTATTTGGAGAGATGAACTACTATAGTATAATATACCGTAAGATACTTCATTTTAGGCTGTACTGTTGAGTAAGTGCTAGTGAGTTTAAACTTCAATTCTAGGGGTGGTGAGGTCCACTAACCAAGAATCTCTACAAGTGTGTAGTCAGCCAGCAGGACATAGGAAGGACTACACTGCAGAGGCGGGTACTAAAAGCACTTCATTCAGCCCTTCCAGTCTTGATCAAAACTAGGCCAGGCGGTCGGCTGTCTCTCAGTCGAGGAGGGACATCTGGCTCACAGGGGCAAGTAGGCTTCCCTGGGCGGGAACTTGGTGTGGTGGAGTTCCTCTTGCTAGTTCTGCCCACCACCCCAGTATCTCAAGGAGGGGAAAGGGAGCCCTTTCTGGGGTGGGGTTAGTGTTTGGAGGGTGGGTTGGGGAGGAGCTATCCTATTCTAGCCTCCTTGGCAGGAGCTGTAGATGATGACTATCCCCCACTGACGTGTCAGGGAACTTAGAGATCATCAGGTCTCACCTCTGACCCATGAACTTCATCTCTCTCTTCCTCAGCACTGTCCTCAGCAAGCTAGAAACAAATCTCTGCTTTTTTCCATAAAGTATAAGACACATTTGGTTCTCCTTTAGGCACTGCCCTTTGGAGTAAGTGTCCACATAGCCGTTCAGACTTCACAGGCCCTGATTTTCATCACATTGTTGTTGCAGAACGTGCGAATAGAAGCATTCACCAACTGCAGTGTGCGCTGAGAGACGGTGATGTCAGTGTTGGAGAAGGTGCCCTGGATGCCATGTGTGGTAATGGTGTGGAAAATGAGGACCCTGGGATGGCTTGGCATGAACTGCAACACAGCCATGCCGGTGAGTGTGAATGGATGTCAGTCCTAGTCTGAATGACACACTGTGACTATTTTAAGCTCCTCCGTAGAGTAAGGACTCCAGGCTGTCCGCTGCTCTGCAGGTGGGATTTTCTTCCTGAAACACAAATCAGCTGGTACAATTTCCTTGCTGAATATTTTTCCTTTGACTTCGTGGTGCCTATAGGCTGAAGTCCAAAATCCTTTGTATGTCATAGCAATATTTTCTTCTTCTTTCTTCTTAAGATGGCTCCAAGCTACCTCTCCAGCCTCATATTTCTATCCTCCTCCCCACTATCCAGCCACATTCTAGTCATAGCAACCTACTTGCCCGGCTTCTATGCTTATGCCATCCCTTCTAACTGGGATTTTTCTCATCCTTTTTTGCTTGGTAATCCTCTGTTCATCCTTCCCAGTGTTAACTCCTCTGTAATGTAAAAACAGGCATGATTAGGTGCTTCCTCTTCTTACAGCACTGTGGATAGCTGTAGGTCTACATGGGAACTTATTACATAGTTTTATATCTGTCAGTGTATCTCTCTTGGCCTTTAAGTGGTAGAGCTTTTCTCATGTTTGCCTTTGGATCCCCAGTCCATTGCACAGTTGTTGATACATAAAACATGTTTACACTATGTTTGTTAGATGGATAGAAGCATGAATGGGTGATGATAAGCCATGGATCCATGGGAAGGCTAATGAAACCCATTGTGTTTGCTCCGCAGTCAATCAACTCAAAGCTTTGTTGCGCCAACAGGCAACTAAGGAAAGTGAGGTGTCTCCATCAAGAAGACGAAATGTGTCGCCTCTGGTGTGTATCAACATTTGCAACCTGACAAGAGCATTGTCTTTCTAACTATGTTTTTTTTTTTTTTTAAGATTTTATTTAGAGAGAAAAGGCATGAATGGGGGGAGGGGGAAAGGGAGAAGGAGAGAATCTCAAGCAGACTCCACGCTCAGTGCAGAGTCTGACACGGGGCTTGATCTCACAACCCTGAGGTCATGACCTGAGCCGAAATCAAGAGTCGGACGCTTAACCGACTGAGCCACCCAGGTACCCCTCTAAGTATGTTTTAACTCTACAATGTCGTTTCAGTAGTATATGTTCTCGACAAATTCTGAGCAGGACATTCTAATAGCATAAAGCATTAAAAGAAATGATCTCCCTTCTGATTATTTTGGCTGAAGAAGAGAGACTTCCATAGCAAAGGGAATCCTGAGTTTTAAATTTATCATTCACTTGAAAAATGCAGGTGAGGAAACAGTTTGCAGAATTTACTTTGCAACTGTTAGCAAATATAAAAGAAAAGGAATACTCTATGGAAAAGAGTAGCTGTTTCTTTTTTACGGGGTCATATCGATATCCTATCATTTTTAGAATTTACTTAATTATATTTCTAGCTGTCCTCTGTAATATTTATTTTGAACGTCAAAGCCAAAGTATATAATCTTGTTCTGCATTTTAAAATACATGGTTACAAAAATGCACAGTGTGAGAAGCTATATTTTTTTCTGAAGTTGTTTTTTATTGCCATTGCTTTGACAGAGTGAATTATTCCCAACTGAAGCGATGTGGTATGCTAAAGCCTGAGATAGATGGGAAGGGGGATAGGTATGAGGGAAGGATTTGGCCAGGTTTAAATGATCAAAATAATGGTCTAGGCCTTAGGTCTATCTGGGCCTATTACTTACTTTCTAGAAGAATATTATGCCTCACAGTGTTTCTGTAATAATAAGAGTATATACTTAAAATTCTTTAGAAACAACGCAATCTGACACAAATCTAATGTGTCATAGTAGCAGTAACTACCTTGCATTTTCAATGTGTGCAACACTTGGATGCCAAGGCTCCATTGTAGAAACTGTGGAGACATGTCACTTTACTCACAGCTGAAATGTCGTAACCATACCCCCATATTAACACTTCATTCCAGCCTGACACATACCTTCATGCTTGATTCCCACTTTAGAGACATGTACTGCATACCCATGTTCAATATTTATGGCTATCAATTATAATTTTAATACCTGGCTTCTAGAACGCTCTTTGGCACACAGTGGGTAGAGTACTTTCAAGACTAGTAGATGAAGTTGCTGTATCTGTCGAATGCTCAGGCATGCTCATTAGCATTTTAAAGATACAACCAAGCAGTGATACTACAGAGCTGGTTGAATCTGGGTAGCAGGGGGAGGCTTACCAAGAGCATCATCAGTTCAGCATATGCAGTATATACTTTACAAGTCCCCTACAGGTCTGTTTATATGGAGCTATGTGGAGGGATGCAACTTAGACTCTGAATGTGTATAGCCCACCCGGAATGATTACAAGCCATAATGATAATAAGCAGTGTTTGATGGTTTAGAAACACTTTAGATGCACTTTCTTCTTTTTTTTAAAGATTTTATTTATTTATTTGAGAGAGAGAGAGTGACCATGTGAGCAGGAGGAAGAGTAGATGGGGACGGAGAGGGAAGAGGGAAAGAATCTGAAGCAGGCTCTGCATTAAGCATAGAGCTGACTTGGGGCTCGATCTCAAAACCCCGAGATCATGACCTGAGCTGAAACCAAGAGTCAGATGCCCACTGACTGAGCCACACATATGACATACCCGAAACACGTGGCTCTGTTGACAGTGAAACTGAGACACTGTTGAGATGCAGAACATAGCCACGTATTATTATTTATGTTTTTGAAATGTGGCTATCCAGACTATAATAAACCCTTCAAAATATATACAGGTGATTTCATTTTCCACTCAGTATTAACTTGTGGTTTTTGTTTTTTTTGTTTTGTTTTTTTACATAGACTGTCCTGTATGTACCCACAGTAATATTTAATTCTTATTTGCCTATGTTCTGGACCCATTTCTATTAATATAAAATTATTATAATTAATTGCTTTTTATTCACTGTAGAAAATCCATTGTATTAAAGTTACTTTGGTTTTTAAATTTCTTAAATATGCCAAAAAACAAAACTCTACTTAATTATTCTGCCACGAGGGCGCCTGGGTGGCTCAGTTGGTTGGGCGACTGCCTTCGGCTCAGGTCATGATTCTGGAGTCCTGGGATCGAGTCCCACATCGGGCTCCCTGCTCAGCGGGGGGTCTGCTTCTCCCTCTGCCCTCTTCCCTCTCGTGCTCTCTGTCTCTCATTCTCTCTCTCAAATAAATAAATAACATCTTTAAAAGAAATGAAAAATAAAAAAATAAAAAAATAAATTATTCTGCCACGAGAGCTGGTCCTTTGTTGTTAGGAATTTCTAGCAGACAGAGAAACAATGATCAGGTGTCTCATCTCGAGCTTTCTCTGGGTTCATTTCACTGGTTGACACTCATTCTTCCTCCCTGATTTCCTCTTTTCCTTAAAAAATATCATGGAATGATAAATGATTCTAGAAACCACGTTATAATCATTTGAGGAGAAAGTAAGGTGTACATTAAAGTCAATGCAGGAATGCTGCAGAGGTACAGAGAATTAACACTTTTTCTGAGGTCTATTCACTGGACTCCTGGTGCAAGATAGCTGCCAGTTTCCTGAGGGTCCTGCTTTAGCACCCGAGGCTTGGTGGCTCTGTGCTCCAGACCAGCATAGTCTCAAATTGCCTAGGGTCAAAAATCAAAAACCACACTTTGCTAACGTACTCCTTTGTGGATAGAATTTTACCTCGTGGACACACCTGGCAGCAAACCCTTGTCTAAAGAAACCCTTCAGTAGGCAGCTGTTCTGCAATTTTAGCTAGCAGTGCTCCCGCATGGTGATTTCTTGAAGAGAGTTGTCCATTTATCTCCCCATTGCTGACTGGGGTGTCACATTTCCAGATGGCTCTGATAGGCAGTTCATCCCAAGCCAATGAGACTACCCCAGCATTTTTCCATTAGCCACAAACTTTTTATAACCACTTTCACTTTCCATCTTTAAAAAAAAGATATTCATATCCCTGAATCTTAATCTGTCTGTGGAATTTATAGGATAGAGAAATAAATACTATTGGCCACAGTGTGATCTACCCTATGTTTATATGACATCAGTACTAAATTGAGTATGGAGGTGGTTTATGGTGGTATTACCTGATTCTTTGCTAAATCCAAACATGCTTAATTTGTTTTTGTTTTTGTTTTTTGCCTTAGAGGTCATCAGAGTATGAGGAAGCCAGTATCCCTACTGTATACAATCTCGTTCCTATCATCAATGACCAGTCTCAATACATTCATCATTTAGAGGCAGAAGTCAAGTTCTGCAAGGTAAGTTTCTCATTAAAAATTTAACCGTAACTAAATTAAAGTTTCTACTAATGATACCTTATATGAAAACTTGCTATTATTAGTCTTCATGCGTATTGTGAAACATTGACAATTGTCATGTTTACATCTTTGAAAAGACTGATATGTTACAGGGGCTTCCCATGCTGGGGAACGATACTCCTGACCTTGCCATTTCTGATTGCTTCATTTCCCAGTAGACCATAACTGTGTCTAATCTAATATTTTGATAATATGCTCTCTTGTTTCAGAGTTTTTGCTTTCCACCCCATGTTCTTTAGCCCAGCTGATGGGGAATGCTTTGGAATGGTAATACCAGTCACTCTCCCACACTTGTCAACCTAGTGAAGCTCTCCTACAGCAACCAGCGATTCTAAACTGCTGACAAAATCCACTCCATTGTCAGCAAAGGTTCTTACCTTAGGTTTGAGTGAGAATGGCCCATAGGGGTACTGATAACAGTGATCAAGAAACCAAATGTGTCCTCTGCAGCTTGTAACACCAGAGGCTCATAATGTTTACTTACTCAACTGAGGCAGTTTAGTAAGGTCCTTAATGCCATTGGAGCCTTTATGCCTCTCCCAACTACGTGCTTTGGTTTTCCTTCCTTTTTTTATTCAGTATCAATATATCATATTTTTTACATTTTGGTTCCTCTTCAGAGGTGCAAGACTTCAGAAACCTTTAGACATTTCATGGTTCTGACGTTTCCAAGAAGTTCCCGATCTTAGCATGTCTTTGTTCTTGGAGGATACAATCATTATTGCACAAGTTTTCTTGGATTACCAAAAAGGCTGAAATAATATCCTAGGATTGATTCCCTTAACAAGCTCCTGTTAATCTCTAAGATGCTATGGAAAAAACTTAAAAGACCTTGTAGGGGAGTTTTACCTCTACCCTCTTAGGGTTTTTGGCTGTGACTTATACTTAACATAAAACAGGGGCGCCTGGGTGGCTCAGTCGTTAAGCGTCTGCCTTCGGCGCAGGTCATGATCCCACGGTCCTGGGATCGAGCCCTGCATCGGGCTCCCTGCTCCACAGGGAGCCTGCTTCTCCCTCTCCCTCTGCCTGCTGCTCTGCCTACTTGTGCTCTCTATCTCTCTGTCAAATAAATAAATAAAATCTTAAAAAAAAAAAATTAACATAAAACAGATTAACAGGATGAAAATATACACATTTATTTGGTTATTTTATTACTGAAGTATAATTGATAATATTATATTAATTTTAGGTGTACAACATATTGATTGAACAATTCTATATATTACTCAGTGCTCACCACAATAAGTGTAGTTACCATCTGTCAGAATACATGTTATTACAATATTATTGACTATATTACCTGTCTGTACTTTTCATCTCTGTGATTTATTTATTTTATAACTGAAAGTTTGTACCTCTTAGTCCCCTTTATCTATTTCACCCATCTCCCTACCCACCTCCCCTCTGACAACCACCAGTTCTCTATATTTGAGTCTTTGTTCTTTTATTTTGTTAGATTCCACATACAAGTGAAATCATACAGTATTTGTCTCCCTCTGTCTGATTTATTTCACTTAGCATGGTACCGTTTAAGTCCACCCCATGTTGTCACAAATGCAAGATCTCATTCTTTTTTATGGGTGAGTAATATTCTATTCCATATATATTTGTTTATATGTATACGTACACACACACACACACACACATCTTCTTTATCCATTCATGTATCGGTGCATATTTGGCTGCTTCCATATCTGTAAATCTGTAAATACTGCTGCAGTAAATGGAGAGGTGCATAGATCTTTTTGGATTTGTGTCAGTTTGGAGGGTAAATACCAATAGTGAAATTACTGGATCATATGGTATTTCTGTTTTTAAATTTTTTGAGGAACCTCCATACTGTTCTCCACAGTGGCTGCACCAATTTATATTCCCACCAACAGTGCATGAGGATTGCTTTTTTACCCCATCCTCATCAACACTTGTTAATTCTTGTCTTTTTGATACTAGCCATTCTAACTGGTGTGAGGTGATACCTCATTGTAGTTTTCATTTTTTTCCCCCTGATGATTACTGTTGTTGAGCATCATTTCATGTGTCTGTTGGCCATGTGTTTGTCTTCTTTGGAAAAATGTCTGTTCAGGTCCTCTGCCTATTTTTTTTAAATTTTATTATGTTAATCACCATACATTACATCATTAGCTTTTGATGTAGTGTTCCATGATTCATTGTTTGCGTATAAC